GTTAATTGCGCTTTTACCTGATGAAAGCTTAGTATTCAAGTGTTTGTTGTAGGAGACGTTATGATGAAAGCTTAGTATTCAAATGTTTGTTGCAGGAGAGGTTATACGTAATTAATATTCTAAGATATTTATATTCATTCAACTCTTTCTACCTACATTTCTCTGAGCTTCCATGACAACGTATTGCTTAATCCAGCACCCATTCTGAAAATCATAATCTTAGATTTATCAAGATTCGCGATAAAACCCCATTGTAAACAATACCTACCTAATCATCCATCATACTTTGCATTATTTCAGGTGAGTCCGCAAGCAGAACGACATCATCAGCATGTAAATGCACTTTTATGAGAGTTGAGTTTATAGGTGCTCCGCCCGTTAAAGAGTCCTGTAGATCATTTAAATATAATGAAAACAAAATCAGGCTAAGCAGGCATCCTTGTTTTATTTCTTGAAAATCAACAGAAATAAAAACAGCATGTTTTCTTATCGTTATTTAAATTTAAGTGTATTATAAATATATATTATCTTATATATAAAATTAACATTGTCAAAATGTTAGTTACCGTACTCCTCCGAAACGGCTTTACCGATTTTTACCAAATTTTATATGCGTATTCAGTAGGTCTGAGAATCGGCTACTATCTATTTTTCATACCGTTAAAGTGATTAGGGTGTCCCTATCCAGCAAATATATCTTTATTGCTTTAACAGAAATTTTTTATTTTTTTGACATAAATTTTTTTATATTTTTGAAAAAGAAAACTTGCTATGATATGAAAAGTTGTTGTCTATGAAAATACTGAATTCATAAAACTGCCCCCTAATTTCTGCACTATCGTTGATTCTCAAAATGCTCTCATTGACCGCGTATTTCCAGATGTACACATACAATACATAAATCATGGGTGGCTGGCAGAAAGAGTCATTAGCAGGAAAAAAAAATGTGGACGTTGATGAATTAAACTTCAAGATAAAACAGACATTGCCAGGCGACTTAATATCATACAAATTGATCGATACAGTTTGTAATACCAACGAAGTTGTAAACTATCCAGCAGAGTTTTTAAACTCACTGGATTTGCCAGGCATACCACCACACATTTTACGACTGAAAGTTGGATCACCGATTATTTTACTTCGGAATTTGAACCCACCACTGCTATGCAATAGTACGCGATTGGTAATTAAAAAATTGATGAAAAACATTATCGAAGCCACCATTTTGAATGGCAAGGTCCGAAACGAAAAAGATTTATTGCCACGAATTCCAATGATTCTCACAGACAAGCCAAATTAATTCAAACGCGTTCAATTTTCTATTAGATTGGTATGAGAATCGGCTACTATCTATTTTTCATACCGCTAAAGTGATTAGGGAGTCCCTACCCAGCAAAAATATCCTTATTGCTTTAACAAAAAATTTTTTATTTTTTTGACATAAATTTTGTTTATATTTTTGAAAAAGAAAAATTTTTTCTTAACTTCATTTCTTCGTCTTCGCCTTGCATGGCAGATGGAAAATGTACTAAAAATTTTTCTAAGGATTTCACTAATGATACTATAACAAATACCGACGGATATCCAATATATCGTCGAAGAAATCCCGATAATAGGGGACAATGGCGGGTGGTGCCGTATTCGCCTCTGCTAAGCAAGACATACAATGTTCATATTAATGTTGAGTTTTGCAGTTCTGTGAAGAGCATCAAATATATTTACAAGTATGTCTATAAAGGCAGTGATATGGCTGTGTTTAGAGTAGAAAATACTAATGTAAATGCCAATAAACAAACACGGTGAAATTACGCTCTACCAAATTGGTCGGTACATCAGCTCCAATGAAGCTGCTTGGCGTATCTTCGGTTTTCTAATTCATGAACGGGATCCAGCAGCTGTTCAGTTAGCCGTCCATCTTGAAAACGGTAAGCGTGTATTTTTCACGAACGAGACAGTGATTGATCGTAGTACAAATCCACCTAAATCTACACTCACTGCATTTTTTTAATTGTGTAATAGTACGGATGATTTTGGTGCCTTTGCAAGAACATTACTCTATTCACAAGTACCACGCTATTTCACTTGGGCTCAAACAAAAAAATGGATGCCCCGCAAGCAAGTTTCACCAGTTGATGCATGTCTCAATTTATTTAAATTGAACGCTTATTTACAGTTAATCCAAGACACACTGAGTGCTTTTATCTTCGACTGTTGTTGGTTAATGTTACTGGCCCATTATCATTATTATTATTAACAGTCAATCCAAGACAATTTAAATTTGAAGATACAACAGTTGTTGCCAGGGAACTTGGTATCATACAAATCTATTGATTTTAAATTAATAATTTAATAAATAAACTATAATAACTTAAAAATAATATTGTTTGGTGTTTGTTATTTTTATTTTCCTTTTCGTTCATAGCGCTTCATGCTTATTTCATGCATATACCACATACTTACACACTTATAATAAGTAAGTTACTTTTTGTCTACACTAGAATTTATCTAGAAACTAGAAATAATTTATAAGGCAAAACAACGTTTGTCGGGTTATCTAGTATATATATATATATATATATATATATATTATATGTGAAATCCCGCTTGTTATTTCTTTAAGATATTATTTAACTCAACACAACTATTCATACGAAAAAATAATATATTAGTAAATATTCTAAAGACTCGAGTAGTGATAGCTCACGATACTTTGAAACTATATTAGGTTCTTCTTTTCCAACATTGATTGAATTCTCTTCAAAACGAAGATGGTATGGCACAGTACCTCCAAGTATTTGTATTCTTTAAATCACCACTAGCTGATGTATATTTCAATTTTTCTTTCTGGGATGATTTGCCATTTTTTTAAAGAAAAATACTTCATCTTGAATTTATAAATTTGAAATATTAAAGTTGTTAATAAGAGCTTGATAAAGGCCTAAATGTTACCATTTAGCCCAGCAATGTTGCAATATTTGATATTAGCTGTGTAAAGTTGATTAAATGTTGTTGCAAATGTCTATTAGAAGTCTTTGCACAAAAGATTGTTGCACAACTTATTGACACCTATTTCTTTCATGTACTAATTAAAGTATTCTAAAAAGCTTTTCTGATTGTTTTGTAAAAATAGATTGGTCGACCTTATTTTTGTCAGTCACTTTTTTCTTACATTAAAAATGTTCAGATTATACAATACTTAAGAATATAAAATTAATCATGATCAAAATTGATTCCGATTCGTAAGGTTTTATTTTATTTGCAAATCGTTAACTTAGAATTGCTTAACTTATTCAAAATCGCTAGTGTTTGAGTAAATTGAAGTCCACCTATCAAATATCCATTCCATTCTAAATTCTTTAAGTAAATTTCTCTTTTAAGTTTCTTGCCTTAGTAAACTATAAACTGTAGTATGATTTGTTTTTGTTAATATACAAGTATATATTTAGAATAAAAGTTATAAAGTTGCTTTGAATGTTGCCCTTTTGTTCACTGTAATATATTTAGATTGACGGGGAAAAACCAACTGCATTCCTGCTTAAAATAGAATATTGATAAAGCACAATACCTGAACAAGTTTACCTATGTCCTCTACTCATTTGTACTTAAAAAATGATCAGATGAATATTTTTAAGCTCTTCTTTATACAAACTACTAAAATAATATAAATTTCTTTAGCATATTTTTAGGCCGTTAATCACAAGGTGTTTTTAAAATTATATTATTATTTTTATTAATTTTTAAAAAGTCATACCTATTTAGAGTAATTTTTCTGGTAGACGAAACTTGAATATAACTCTTCTCTCCGTATAATATATAATACATTATACATATATACATTTCTTAGCAGGTATGTCAAAACAGATCAGTTACATACAGTTTGTATTGGTTAAAGTTTAGTGATTCAACTATTAAATTTTGTAAGTAAGCTAAATTTTAGAATGAACATACATATACCTTCTACTTATTTCAGCTATCGGCTTAATTGAAGTAACTATTTCTCTAATAACTTACATAGATATTATTTTTATTTTTTATACTAGTACCAAAATTTATCAAACAAGAAATTAAATTTATAACCTTAGTACTATGTCTAAGTCTAACTTATAAGAATATGTTAAGCAAAGTTATTACTTTGTGCATTATATACCCTATTTAAGATACCAACCTTATAAGCATTGTAGACAACTCACCTAACATTACCTAGCCAAACGGGTTGAATGAAATAGACCTTCTTCAGGGAAAAAAGTCAGAAAATTTTTTATATAATTCAATTCAATTTTAAGAATAATGCAGAAATCGTTATATAGCTTAGTAGTTTGACTGCTAAAATAGACAATTTATATTACATAATAATAAACTTCCATTGTAATAAACAAAAAATTCTAAATCGTTTTGGTATATAGTAATGTTATAAAAAACTATTCATAATTATTTTAATTAATTAATAATTATTAAATTGATAAAACATTGAAGATATCACTGAAGGCATTTGCAAAAACGAAAAATAAAGTTAAAATGAGAAATTAAATTATAATTTCAATTTTTATCCTAACAATAGGAACAGACCAGTATAAATAAGACTTATTTAAAAAAAATTTCATTCAAGTTTTTGTATATATATTCTATTAATTTTTTATAGAAGTATTCACCCCAAAAACCAATATAATAATATTTGAATGATTTGAAATTATTCGAAGAAATATCTAATGGGGGGTGATTTAGTGAATCGCTCACTAGATTTATTATCAAATAAATCCATTATGCCCAATTCTAATAAAATGTCATTGTAAGAAAGAAATATACCATCGATCATATTTTTAGTTTTATATTAAACCTATAATATAACCAACCGAATAATCAATATATCAATTTTATTTTATTTTTTAATATTCGTACAAAAGTCTACATAACACTTATTATAACCCAATAATCTTATAAATAATAACAAACTTTAAAATATATACATATGTATCATATATAAAGTACAAAAAAAATCACATTTTAATTTATTTCTTCGTTTTAACCATACGAGTAACTTCTTGAATTTCGGTAGGACTGATAAACTGGTTGAATATTGCCAGTCAACTGTTGGATTATACCATTAACTGTAGTGGCAACACCACCGACAAGTTGAGCTGGTGTGATGCCGGGCTGAAAATAGAGTGAAGTGTGTTTAAACATAATTTTATTATCAAATATATTTACAATAACTTCTATTAACAAATTATATATCATTTGAAATATACACAAATTTTGGGATTCATTGCCCATAAATATAACACACAATATATAATATATGTAAGTAAGAGTTTATTAATATATCGCTATTACAGATATGCTGTTATAATACAATGATCCTAACAAAGATTACATAAAATATAATGTATGATAAATATATTTGTAAAAGCAGTAAATTATTTTATATTGAAACCTACGAAATCTTCTATAACAAAATATGCATATAACTCTCAATGTTTTTATGATCTATATTCATTTAATAGTGCTGTTGGTGAAGGGAATCCATAGCCTACGAGAAGAATATAGTTTTTAATCTTTTTTTTTTAAATATACAAAAAGCATTATTTAGTTTTTTTTATTTTAAATTTTATTGGACTCTCTTTTTCTTTTTCCTTTTATAATATATTATGTTGCACTCATGAAGTTAAACCGATGAGAATTTTGTCAGAAAATTATCTTTTTTGATGTAGTACAAATTGATTTTTTTTATTCAAATGATCTTGATCTTTCTTATTCTTTCTTTTTATCTTTTTTCACTGTCTCTTTCTCCCACTCCCTTTCTCACTTGTGTCTCTCTGTCTAATTTTTTTTTCTCTCTATTCTTTTCGCTTTTACCTTGTTACATTCATGTATTAGGATGGATGAATGAGTTAAATCGTTTTATAGATGTATTATGTACTTATCTAGGGTAAATCAAATCATATTTACATATACCTATGAGTAATACTTAAATTATATCCTTATTAAATATTCCCTAAATAGCTATAGAAGAAGAAATTACAAAATTGCAATTAATAAAAGTTTAAATCGCAACAAAAGATTTTGTTGCGAAATCTATAAAATGTTAGTTTGTTTAAAAAAAATTGGAGAAAGTGATAAATCTAGAAAACTAAAACCTATTATCATTTCAATCTTCTTCTCATTTTTCAATTTTACTCAATTGTACTCACCGCTCCCGCAGAATCAAAATATACACGATTTGGTCGTCTACGAACTGGTGGTGGCCGGTACTCTGGATCTACATCAGGATCCGTTTGAAGATCATCAACTTCACTGTTAGCGGGATCTGCTGCAACTGCAACTGGTGCTGCAGCTATTGGGCGTGCAGTAACTGCTAAAGAGTTCTGTAAAATGCCAGGCGCAAATAAACCTAAAAATGTGTTTAGTGGCGATCCACCGTAAGCTG